ATTATTAATCTGTTCATACTGTTCAGCCGTAAACCAGTTGGTTCATGGCTCTTTTCAGCATTTTTCCCTCCCCGTTGAAGTTTTCCGGGGCGTTCATGCATTCAGAACGCATAGTTACACAACATGTGTCTGTGCATGGCACATAATTACGCAATGCGTAATTACGCACATGGGGAGCTGAGTGACAAGACGTTTTTTGGGCAAGCTTCTGCTTCATACGGTGTTCGAATGGACCCAGTGAGGTGAGGACAACATCCGCTTCGCCCTTAACCCATCAGTGACAGCCTTAAAGGGCGAAGCCTATACGAAATAGAACGTTGGTTACGTACTGTAACCCCAGATTCTATGAGTATAGGCGTAGCCCTTTAAGCGTCGGGCCTCACTGGCTCCTAAATGGCTGAAGAAAAAGCTATTTGGGAGCCGATTACCCGCTCTTAACGTAATTTATACGGACAAGGTGGGGCCCACACAGCAGGTGGGCGTGGACTAAATTTTTCAGTGCAATGCTTCGCATATCGGGATAAACCCATCAGCGACAGCCTTAAAGGGCTACGCTTATACTCATAGAATCTGGGGTTACAGTACGTAACCAATGTTTTCATGAAACAGAGGGAGCTGAAAGTTGAAATTTACAAAATGTTGGTTAAAAAAAAAATGAAGCTCAGATCAGAACTACAATTTGAAACTGGGCATTATAGATAGAGTTGTTTGAGCAAAGTAACGGCAGACATGTTTACTGCAGACAGACAATAAAGTTAAATAGAAGAACTTTACAACAATAAAGCATGGTGGTAGAAGTGTTATGGTCTGCAGTGATTTGCTGTCTTTCAGACGGGGCTGCTTCCACTGAATTCTGCATCATATGAAATAACTTTAAAAAGAAGAAATACTAAGTTACCAAAAATACATAAATCGAAGCCCAGATAAACCAAATTGTCCTGTGGAGATTTAAAATAAACACTGATAGGTCTTATTGTTTACTAAACAATGTTATAAACTTGTTGACAGGTATTTTTGTTCATTAAATAAGTGAAAAACTACTTTTCTAGCTTATTGTGTTTAAATATTTATCATTCATCTGTGGGTAGTTATTGTTCAGAGGATCAAATGTTTGAATGTTCAAAAATATTTTTTTAAGAATAGTGAACTTTTGTGTGATGTGTTTAATTTTAATAAGACTAAATAATCATTAGATAAAATAAATAATTATGGGGATTATATTAGATTCCACGATACGTTAACATCTTCACATTCACACTCTGAAACATGTACAGTATTACCTCTGCAGTGCTCTCAATGATCAGTACTTTCTTCATTTTGAATAAATTTGATGATCTTTAGCTACAAGTCATAGGATGAAGGCATCAGAGAAAAACGTGACTGATTTCTTCTACAGGTTGAATGCTGGCTGCTGGACCCTAGCAGTGATCCTCGCATCAGGGCAGAGACCAAGAGTGTGTTCATACACACTGTGATGAACCAACTCACTGGCCTGTTGGAGAAAGATGGCACACTAGGTATAATAATAATAATAATAATAATAATAATAATAATAATAATAATAATAATAATAATAATAATAATAATAATAATA